CAGGTCTATTTATAGTCAATTCCTTGCTTTTGAGTGTAGCCTTTAGCAACAAGACGAGCCTTAAACCTTATAACATTGCCCTTTGAATCCCTCTTGATTTTAAATATACATTTACAATCAATGGGGTTAATACCTTCGGGCAATGAGACTAGCTCCCAAACGTCATTGTCACTCATAGACTTCATCTCATCTTTCATGGCATTAATCCATTCTTGAGAGTTAGAACTTTCGATGGATTGACGGAAGTTGATTGGATCATCTTCCGCAAAACCAACATTTGATTCTTGTTCTTGGAGGAAGACAATTATTTCTTCCACCAAATCCCAATTTTCCTCATATTCTTGGAGAAATACAATATAATCATCCGGAATTGCACTTCTCCTCTCTCGAGTAAAAACTCCTTAATGGAATTTCACCCAAACACTCCAGCTTCTGCTTCTGCTCTTTGAAGGAGCAGAATCAGTTTTGAGAATCAGATCCAAACACCCCTTTATCACATTTTTGAAGTGTTGTTTGAAGGGAAGAGATTAAATCTGATTTTATCACATTTTGAAGTGTTGTTTGACAATTATAGGGGTTGAATTGGTCGGAGTGGGCTATTTCAATGCAACCCCACTCGAGAAGTTATATTGCTTATGTAGTGTGTTTTTTCTCTAGAATTTTATTTCTGTATGTTTGGAGTCTTTATTTGTGTTTTCGTTTATTTCACGGTTCTATTTATTTTTTGTTGGGAAATTACTCTAAATAGGACTAAAACGTTTGTATATTTCAAAATAGGGTTGTATTTCAAGGCTCTTTATTTTTTAGGGAAAAGGTGCATATAGGCCCATGTACTAACCAAAAAAGGTCAAATAAGCCCTTATTTAGGAGATTCTTTCCGGCCGTCGTCATTTGGGGTGGTTTCCGGTAAAAATTTTTGATGAAATTTTTTGAGCATCTTATTCATGAAGTCTAGTTTACTCATACCAAATTTCAGCTAAAACTTTAATCGGGAAGGCATTCAAATGAATTCTTGAAGATAACTGTGCTTCTAACTGCGCAGTTATTTTCAAGAATTCATTTGAATGCCTTCCCGATTGAATTTTTAGCTGAAATTTGATATGAGTAAACTAGACTTCATGAATAAGATGCTCAAAAATTTTCATCAAAAAATTCCACCGGGAACCACTCCAAATGGCGACAGCCGGACAGAACCTCCTAAATAAGGGCTTATTTGACCTTTTTTAGTTAGTACATGGGCCTATTTGCACCTTTTCCCTATTTTTTATTGTATATGATGTTTTTATTCCCAAAATAGAACTGATTACTGTCATATTTTAACAGTATCACACTTTCAACAATGCAATATTTTTTAAACTTGACAATAATTACTGCTATTTCGGAAATAAAAACATGGCAACCTTATTTTGAAAATTTTAAACTGTTTTACTCTTATTTCGAAAATTTTCCTTTTTTATTCTCTTTAAATATGGTAGGGGCTTTGTGTATCCTCGAAATCATAATAGGAGCATGGCTGCATGGAGACATTATGACCCATTTAGCTTTAAGGGAGTATATATAAGAAAGGAGAGCAATTTTGGATTGCACATGAATGCAATTTTTTAAAAGCTCATGGATTTTATAAGGTTTAGATGCATTAAATGTTGACTTTGAGATGACGGTGTTTTGGATGGTGCAGTTTGGAAGGCCTCAGCGGTCACCATTGCTAAAGTGCGATGATCAGACTTTCAATTTTGAATTTTAAAATGGAACTGCAGGAGAGCCGTTGAAAAACTATAAGGGCCCGTTTGTTACGATGTAAAGTAAACATTTTGCGTGTAAAGTATGAGGAAGTAAACACTTTACACCGTTTGTTTTAACTATTTAATGTAAACTGTAGGGTACTTTTTTAAACACATTTTACACTGTACCATGTAAAATATTTTACGTGGGAGGAGGGTGGTAAAGTGGTTTACATCCATTTATATGACCGAGAATAAATATATATGGAACCAATTAAGACCTAGATGCAGGCTACTTTGGAAACTTGCGTGTGGCGGCAAAGCAAATAATTTGCTGGCAAGAACTTCATATCTTCTTCTATACGAAGTACTCCGTATAAGCCAACAAAATCATCAAATCATCAATTCATCAAATCTCTTCTCCATCTGCTCTGCGCTCCACGTTATCAAGAGGTATATGCTTCAATTCATATTCTTGAATTGAAGCAAAAATTAGTAATATACGAAGTATGTTCTCATCTTGTGTGTTAGTTCGAAATAGTTACAAAGGAAAAAATCAAATCGCACTGGCGGCACTGCTGCTAGAGAACGGCAACATGGCCCCTTTTGCATATAAACTTTTTCCCCCGAGCAAACATGGTAAAGAGTTTGCGTGTAATTTAAAAATAGATTACATATGTAACCAAATGATATATCTTTATTTTACATGCAAACCATTTTACTGCCCTAAACTTTACATGCAATCATTTTGCATGCAATGTTTTAATGTGTAAACTACCAAACGGGCTCTAAACACAAAATTAGAAGTAGGGGTGGGCATAGCGATTTTGGTTCGGTTTGGAGCGGGTTGGAAGAATTATTACCAATAGCATATGAAGGTTTGGTTCGATTTCGTTTGGTTTGAATTTGTAACTCCATATTTTTTTTTGCAAAAGAGAGAATTAACTTTCATTAATCAAGTCATAATCAAGTACAGAGCAAGTGAAAGGCGGGTTACTCCGTATTTTTTAATAGCATATGAAAGTTTTATTTAATTTCATTTGATTGGTTCATTTTGTTTGGTTTTACTCAGTTTGATTTAATAAGGTATGGTTAAATTTGTTTCGTTTTTATCAGTTTTTAATACCAAGCAGAACCGTATCAAACTCAAATCAAATTGAAAATGGTTCTGTTTGGTACGGTTCGGTTAAACAAAATCGATACGCCCACCCCTAATTACAAAGCAATTCTACATTTTGGGCTGGATGGTATATTTTGGGCTTGTGCGTGATAATTGATCCATTTGCAAACTGAAATTGGATCATGAGACAAACACGGTTTGGACGGATTTGTGCGCCTAATACTTTAGTGGGATGTACTCCTTTATCCCATGGTGGATGATCTTATATTCTCATTCTAGATTGGATAATGGGTATACTCCAAGTAATTTTATTGACAACCTTCAAATTACTATTTACAACAATAAAACTATTTTTTACCAAATTTTAGTTTGACAAAGTCTATATTGCCCTTACCTACCCTAACTATATGTTCATATGTAGATATGAAAATGAAATTTAATAGAAGTACTTTGAGTTATGTCATTGGCAAATGAACACATGACGGGTTTTCTTCATGTTAATGAATTCAAAAGGAGTCTTTTCATTCCTCAACCATTCAACTATGAAGAAGGTGAAATTATTGTTTTAGAATTACCTTTGAAAGAGAAGAAACAAAGTAGCATTAATGTGCTCAATAATTTGTTAATATTATAATATTTGTTTTTTTCTTCTTATTAATGTTTTATTTATTTTGTGTTCGCATATTTTTTTGTGTATGATGTAATGAATGATATTAGAACAATGACGTATCTAGTAAAGTAATATGTCAAATGTTCTTCAATTATTTTCATTTTTTCAAGATGTCATTTGTTATTTCTTACAACATGCATGTTATCTTGTGAGGTAAAATATGATGTTTGGACCTATAACACAAGTTGATGATCACCGAAAGTGAATAACTTTTAGTGATGATTTAATAAGGTGTTTACAATTCATTTCAACATGTCAATTATGAAGATCGTGTGCAGTTGTAAATTTTGTGAGTGGATTAGCGTCTATACCCGACACATCTTTATTCAGTTTATTGTTTTAAAGGATTTGAAAATGGAACACATTCCATGTCAACTTGTTACTCCGTACTTGTTAGTACTCAATTTTCTAAGGAGTTTCAATGATCGACTAAAGGCTAGCAAAGTAACCGCTACTATTTTAGTGACTAGTCATCCTTGACTTCTCAAGTCAAAGATGGTAAACATCGATCGATTATTTAAACTAATATTTTTATGCAAAACTTAATAAGTTTATACTTTTACGATAATATTTTGGACAAATACTACGTAACATTTTCATATCATTTTCATAATATCAATACATTTGTATATAAATATATAATCGATCAAGGTTTAACACCATAGACTTGAAAAGTCAAATATAGCTAACTAAAAAGGTTTTAGACAAAGAACACCAATAATTTAATAAGTTTATACAATCCTTCGATATTAATTTTTTTTTAAAAAAGGAACTAGGGCTGATTATAAACTTGCTAAAAATGCACGACAACAAACAAGCAAGCATGTTTAAATTTCGTGAGCATCGTTTGATGATATCCCTCAAGCATGTTTAAATTTCGTGAGCATTGTTTAATGATATCCCTTCCATCTATGTATGTGGTATACTGCAATATCAGAGGCGGCCCTAGGGGTGCAAGTGTGCAACAGGGGCGACCACCTTAGAAGAAAATAGAGGGAAAAAATAGGCCCAAAAATATTTCTTTGTATGTAGTGTAAGTAACTTCTTTTTTAAAATTTTAAGCTCAATTAATTGACTCAAGGTTTAATTTTTAAAATAAATGTAAAGTGACATGCCTCTCTTGATTCTCTTTGTATCTCTAAGTTTAATAATCCTTTTAATTACAAAATTATCAAGTTATGTTAGGCCTCCTAAGTCCAAAACTCTCAATTCGCAAAGATCATCCAAATTGATTTGTTATTTCCAAATTTCAATTTCAACAAGAGTAAAGAATGATGCATAGCTGTGAAGAGTGTCGCAACAGTTTGTTAAAAATCGAAGTCTATCAATCGAGGAGCCGAAACGGCGGTCAGTGATCAAAAAATTTCTTCTGTCAAGGCTTCAAACAATCCTACCATGATCAACAAATTATTCTTGATACAAAATGGTGAATCAGGTTAGGATAAAGAGAGAAAGAGAAGATTCGAAAAGACATGGTTAAGTTAGAAGAGATCGATAGAAAATATTGTTTTTGTTAAGAAATCGAATATTGAAAATTCCGTAAAAAAATGTTTTTCTTGAATATAAGCCTAAAATATTATCTCGCCCATAAACCAGAAAGTAGACATGACCGGCCCTGTACCGAATCATCATCATGTACAATGAATAGAAAAAACACCTAACAAGAAAGCAGCGGGCTTGTTATTGAACATTTTGGATTTCGATCAAACTAAACGGGTGAAACAGCATGTCCACTTGATGAGGCAATACCCAAAACAGATGTTCGCCTTCTCATCTTTTTAAACGAATTATTGCTGAGTGAACCCACTGGGTTCTCACTTATATTGCTGAGAAACCCGGTACGCCAGCTTATCCATGAACTGGCACTTTTTGTGGAATCCCCAACCCGGATTGCTCTGCATTGTACAGTAGTTAATCAATACATCACTTTCACTTGTATATACGTAGTATATATGAAGCCAAAAAACTATAAATGCATAAAAAAATTGAAGGGTTAGCCACATTGATTTTCCTTCACATTTCCACAGACAAACCAACAGTGCCACAAAAATTAGAGAAATCATCAGCATTGTGTTTGATACGTCACCTGTGATTGACCAATGCATACTCCAAAATGAAAAGAGAAAAAATGCTTATAAAGAAAATTAACCTGAAGTGACTGAACAGCACGGTCTGTGAACATCTTCACTGAATTGGGTGCGCTTTGTGGAAGAGTAGATGCAACTCTTTTCAGTTCCTCGTGCTGCTGCTTTGCTGTTACTCTGTCAGGGCCACTGTAGTGGTCAACTATCTCTTTTATAAGCGGGAGCCTGACCTCCATCGTTTCTTTCATGGCTTCCTGGATGAGTGTCATTAACAACATTAACACCACACCAATGGTATAAACAATGGCATCTACAGCAACAATATGTGACATATCAGATCTTTAGTAGGAAAATCAGTTATACAACTGATTTGGAACTAAAATAATGATGGATTAAATTACAGCTTCAAGTGTTCATTGTTGTTTCTTGACATATAGAATTCATCACATCTTATGCACTTTTGTATTGGGAGTAGAGGAGGTTAACTAGTAGACGCAAGGCAATCAAAAGCGATAGCATACACTCAAGGCAAAAGGTACTGTATCGCCAGAGGCACCAGGCACAAAAAGCTCCAGAATGACTCGTAAAGTGTACACATTTGAAAGCATTGTCTATTATCTATATTGTTCTCAAATCATCAAAAACATGTTACTTAATGTAAAACTAAACCATATGCACCAATAATGTCACAAACATACTACCTTTGTCCCTCATTTAACTAAGTTGATGCAACTTTTGAGAGGATTGAAACTGTGTTCTTGATATTTTGTTTTAGGGGAAAGAAATTATATCAGCCAAGTAATGCTTTCTGAAAAGGGAAAGTGAAGATAGTTTTGGGGCTAACCGACTGATGGAGTAACATTTTAGCCATTACCATGTAAGGCCAATGTGGGAATTAATTGACAAACTGACTACTGAACAAAGTATTGAACTACATAATATGGAAGACCAAAAGTGCATCAATTTAATGGACAGATAATTTGGGTTTTATAATCAGCTCATGAGACTGCATCAAGGTGCTATACTTTAGCCTCACTCTGATGACTGCACCTGAGATAGTTCATGGTGCAAGAGCTCTTTCGTGCCTCTCCTTTGCGCATAGGTGAGCACCTCTAGCACTGTCAACTACACTTAATGGAATTAGATCTTGTTCTTGAGGAAGGTGATGAAAATGTCAAGAGTAACAAGGTGCGCATGCAAGGTTTTAAAAGGCTAAAAGACGCCTCGAGGCGCTTTACTTTAGCCTATTAAGATGTCCTAAAACAGAAATATCCTAAAAAAATATAAAAAGGCTAATCAATGCATGATAACAAATATATGCATGATTAAAAAAAATGTAACTTTACCCAAAAAATATATAACTTCACAACAAAGTTATAAAATTATGAAAATAAGCATATGTTTAAGCCAAGTTGTCTTAAAAGTTAAAACTAAGAAGTGAAAAGGAACTGCTACTAATTATTAGCTTTACTTGTTATAAAAGTGTTACCGAGTACAGAGCAGCCGTGATAAGAAGAGTAGCAAGCTCTCGGCTAAACAGAGAATAGAAAATATCTAACTAAAGAGAACAACATCTAACTAGGGACCTTATGATTTTGCATATTGATGTATTCACATTGTTTACCTAACTCAAAGACGTTATCGAGCCAGATTCTAGAGATCTGTTGGGACCAATTACTTGGTCAAAATGAGGCATGAGTCTCAACTACCTCTCAGGGCTTGCACCTCTAGACAACACAGTGAGGCTTAAGCCTTGAGACATTTTAACTGTGCTTTGCACTGAAAAAAACCTTGGTGCATACACCTAAAACACCATGTAAAGTGTAAACCAAGTGTACAGTATAGGAATAGTCCTTATAGTTTAAGGCATCAATTTGCATACAACCTGATATCGACATGATATTCCAACTTAACTCTATCCTTCTCTATGCGTATCTTCCTTTTTAGAGCAAATCTTCATCTGTGCCCTTCGCAGAGCACCTGTTCTCAGTTTTATTATGTTCTTTCATCTCAGTGTTTGTATATAGTTTCCTACTCTATGTTTTAAAGCTTTCTTAAGCTTTTCTTATTTTTTATTTCAGGCTTACAGCCTGAAATAGCAGTCTTTACGAAGTTTCATGTTTACTTCATAATTACTACTACCTCCGTCCCACCAAGAATGGGACAATTCGGTTTGCGATGCTGGACCGGCGATAAAACAAACAGATCATTTCCGCACTCAAATTATTTTTAGAAAAATAAATAAATATTCAGAAACTACATTCAAAGCTTTACAAAGTCGCAAAAACCATAGTCAAATTTGATAAAAACTTGATATATAAAGTAGAGAATACTATCACATAGGTCCTCCTACTATGTCGAAAAAGTCAATTAAGTCCTTGTACTTTAATATCAACCAATTGAACCCTCAAACTTATAAAAAATGCTCAATTGTGTATTTTAGCCAGCAAAGAACAAGTTCTTCGGTTAACTCCATATGTGTATTGTCGATGTGGCTTTTTAATGTTTTATTATTATTTTTAAGCTTATTATTCTAACTGGCTTGGAGGAATAATCAGCATTTCCTCATCTTCCCAGGCAGCACTGCCGTATCCCTTTCTGCCACAAGCCCACCGCACCGACGGTTGACTAACCCTCTCACGTAGAGCACACCTTTGTTCCACCGTCTGCACCGCCAACTTGCATCCTCCATTCCCTTCACGTAGAGCACTGCCACATCCTCTTCAACCACACCTTTGTGCCACCATCTGCATCCACGACTCATCATCTTTTGCAATTTAGTTCAGCGGCCGCCATATTTACCTATCCAGTCAACCGCCATTTCCATCGGTCTTGCAAGAAGTCACTGTGTAGATCTGACTGTGCTTCACCATTTTCTTAGCCCGTACGTGAGTGAGGGATGACTCCGGTGGTAGCGGCCACAAGCTGCAACTCCGACAATGGCAGCCACAAGCTGCAACTCTGAGAATGGCTGCCACAAGCTGCAACTCCGGCGATGGAGGCCATAAGCTGCAACTCCGGCAATGGAGGCCATAAGCTGCAACTCCGGCGACAGCGACCACAAGCTGCAACTCCGGCGACGACGGCCACAAGCTACAACTCTGGCGATGGATGCAATTCAAAATTTAGTTGGTCTCAGTTGTACGAAGGCGAAGGGAGAGAGTTCTGAATTTCTCTTCTCTGGTGCGAACGAGTGTGGGAAAAGCAAGAAAGTAATATGAAAGGAAGGAAGAAAAGAAAGGAAAAAAAGGAAAATATTAAAAATCCACATGGAGAGTCCATGTAAGCGGAGCGGATAACTGGGAAACTTGTTCTTTACCAGTTATACGACTTAATTGAGTGTTTTTTATGAGTTTGAGGGTTCAATTGATTGATTTTAAAGTTCGAGGGCCTAACTAACTTTGACATAGTAAGGGTGCTTATTTGACAGTTTTCCCTATAAAGTAAGAGATTAAGAGTGATTTGTGTTGACCAAGTGAATAGGAACTGGGACAATCTTAGCGGGACGGAGGGAGTAAAATATTACAAAGAACTCCCTTCGTATTAAAATAAGTGTCCCAGTAGGTTTTTCATGTAGTTTAAAATAATTTATAGGTTTACGATACACTTTTTGAAAAAGTGGGATGTTTTTAATTTTATATTGTAACAATACTGTTTAATTTATTAATGTGTATTGTAACTGCTTTTGGGGTGGATTTATTTCCTAAAATGGAAGTGAGACACTTATATTGATACGGCCAGAAAAGAAAAGTGAGACACTTATTGTGATACAGAGGGAGTATTTGTTTATATTTACAGTTCTGGTCTGCCTGAAAGCAACTCATTCCCTCGTATTTTGTTATATTGCAATGTCAATCCAACTTTAGGTAATCACTGGCTACTTTTACTTGCACTTACCTTTCCTTTATACGAAGTATTACATAATCTTTGCACTCTTCAATTACTTACACTCTTCTACACCACGTCCAAACAGAGTGTTAGAAAGCACAAAATTATCAAGCAATACAAAAGCTCCAAAAAGCATAACTAAAGGACCAAGTGCACATTACAATCGTAAAGCAAAATTCCTCTGCTATCAAAAATATTTGAGGCATAACACTGAATGCTAAGAAAAGCAAACATAGTTGGATCTTATACCTCCCACTCTTCTTGGCTTTCAATTCCTTCATACACCATAAGGAATGGCTTCATCTTCTCAAGGGCATCTCTCAATGGAATAGGAGGTTTCTCGTCAATATCGGGATTCCTGTCAAATTCTCCCATCATGTACTCTTCTTCACATTCAATCTGCAGGTAAAACAATTTAAATGTCATACAAACTGCAGAAATTTTGTCGGTTCAGATAAAACTAGATCAAGTCATCAAACAAGGATTGTATTACCTTTAAATTGGTATCAAGAGCATCCAGATAAGCATCCTCTATACGAGATGGGAAAATTCTAGGAGCAATTTCTTCAATGCCTTCAGCTAATTGGCTCATAATATCAGGACCAATCTCTTGAGCCAGCTTTTCAGCAGCAGCAGCATCACCAACGTTGAAGATATCACCATATTTCTCACCAACATCTTCTTGTACTTTACCCTCTCCACTTCCTCTCCCTCCTCTGCCTCTGCCCCCTCTCCCTCCTCTTCCCCCTCTCCCCCGTTCACTAAACCCGCTACGTCCCCTCCATGGAATGGTTCCTCCTCTTCCCCTCCATTCACCATTGCCACTTCTTGCTTGTCCACCATGAGCAGTCCCACTATTCGTGTCATCTCTGTTGAATCTTTGGCCAGAAGGTCTGCTGTTTTCAGGGCCACCGGGAACTGGTCTCTGCCAACTAGTTTGAGGATTTTGCTTCTCCCTTAGATGCCTGTTTTCTTCCTTGGGTTTTTCAGGAAAAGTTTGAATGGTCTTTCCACGGCCCGCACCAGATAAAACAGAGATGATATTCGAAGGAAGGAGACTGGCTGCATCACTGGACTCAACAGATGCTTTGGCTCGGAAATCCGGAGAGTCTTCTTCTTTTACAAAAAACGAAGGGCTGTTGGAAAGTGGCAGTTTAGGAGGCATCTGCTCCTGAGATTGGGGTCGTGGAGCAGAAGCGGGGCCTCGGATGCCTCGGCCGCGTCCAGCAGGGCCATTACTATCATGCACAAAGGAAAATAAGGGCTTGCTGCTACCACGGCCGTGCCCAATTCCACTATGTTTCCCTGCAGAAGCTGACTCGTCATCCTTTGAATCACCGGACTCATTTTGGTTTGGCGTAAATCCAAAAACGGAAGAGCTACCAGAGCCGAATCCACCGCCACCCCGGCCATATCCGCCACCGTCGCCGGATGAAGTTGAAAATGCAGAAGTAATGAAAGATTGTTGGCGTGATATACTGCCGATAGAGCAACGAGGAAGCTTTCCCCAGCTGCGGCTCATATTCAAATCCTTTTGAGATCAATTAACAATTCATTGCATACAGGGCTGTCTACGGCAATTATGAGGCCCTAGACAGTCAAATAAACATTTCATTTGAACAAGTTTTATTCAGCATAACTATTGATGTAAAGAAAACTTTGAAAACAATCAATCCAAAATAGACCAAAAATAATGACATTCTACTGGCACAATTTTCTAGTCTTTTGAAAAGCGAAATTTGTAAGAACGTCAGTACAACCATGAATAGTCAAGTAACATTTTCTTTCAATCGATAACATAGCCAAACCAGATAATCTCTCTTCAGACAGGGTTGATTGGTGATAATTTTTTATGAGGCTTCAATTTTGATCAATTCCTTTATTAATTTGTTCTTTCACTTCTCTTTGTATATCCCGATTCATGTTTTTATTTTCCCATCATCACAAAACCTACAATTTCATACAGAATAATAATAATTACATACATGAATCATACATTAAAATCTAATCCACATACTCCGTAGATTATAAGTATTCAATATTTCAATCCAGCTCACAAATAACAATTTCAACCAGATAAAGTTTTTCTATGATTTAATACATCCACAAAGTGATTATTATAATCAATTTATTTATTTTACACACCTAAATGAGCAATTAAGTTATTGGCGTAATTGAATAGCAGAAAAGATCAATACTTTATGTTATTTAAAAAACAAAGATCAATGATTTATACAATTATAAAAGTATACTTAAACAGTTATTGCATTATACATATTAAATTTTATTATTTGAATACAGATACAATAATACACACTGGCCTACTTACTACTCCCTAAGTGACTAACAATTGGAAAAACTAAAAATTCATCTGCAGAATTTTGGATCTTCTCCGTACTAAGGCAACACTGACGGCGTATTGGTTGGTCATTAAATTAAAGCTTATTACATCTCCTTAATTTAGAAAATTATTCAACGTTTAACTGAAATAACAGATAAAGAACGAAGCTCAACAACACCCTCGAAGCTTGATCTATTCACTTTAGAAAAACTATAAAAAGATGTGTACGAAGAAACAAAACAAATGAGAAAAAATAAGAATCAACAAAACAGTAATAATCAACTAACCTCGGGATACTAGACGTCCGACCTAAGGAGAAGAGGAGCTGCAAACGGAGAGCGATCTAGCGTGCGACCGTTTGGCTAAGATGAGCGGTTTAGAGAGATGCCGGATCGGATGAATTGGGCCGTGTGGTTTTCTAATTGGACGGGATCAAACACTTTGGGCCATAAATTTTTATTACTGAAAGTGATTGAATCGGATGATTCTTCTGAAATTTATGAAATTTTGGTTGAAGTGACTAAATTGGATGATCAAATTTATGACTAAATTTAAAAAAAAAAATCAATAAAATTTAAAGAAAAAACTAAATAAAAAACTAGTTCAAATGATCATCTACGGTAACTTTAGTCGGTTTAGACATAAAAGTAACCGCAACCTTACTTGTTTTTATTATTACACAACTCAGCACATGAAATAATAATTTACGTTTTTGGTGAAAAATTGACTGATAAATCTAATAAATCAAAAAAGGAGTAGCCAAACGAACTCTTGATTTGCCGATTTTAAATTGTACTCCAGAGTCTTTTAAAAAATTGTCAACTTTCCTTTTTTTGATTGTTTTATTGATTCTCATTTAATTTAAAAATGTGTGGTTCCCGTTAATCCTCTCTCATCTGAACTGCAAAAACTTTAACCACTAAAATTTTAATTTATTACTCTTTGTGCCGCTAAAACTTGATCAAGTTTTAATGAACATACAGGGTATATTTTAATTAATTCGGGGCCTTGCGCGACAAAATAATACCAGGCTTTCTTATACAAGTATAAAGATTACTGACATATGGCACGATACATTTTAGTAATTAATAAAATAGTCAAAATAAAACTATTCAGCAAGGAATATAGTTGATTTAAATTAAAAGAGATATTTGTTTAGCATATTTAGATGCAAATTTATTTACTAGGCTTTCAATGTCAGTTATTTGGGTTATTTTATTAATCTCAGTTGAATATTAAAAGTTAAAAGAACTAAAAATCTAAAATATAAAACAAGATAAAGTAAAAAAAAAATGTGTTTGAGCTTTGTACAAAAGAGAGAAAAATAATAGGAACGGCATATTAATTGATTAAAAGACAAATATCAAAGTTTTTGGGACAATAAATAATGTATAAAAGAAAAAATGAAAAATTAAAAATGACAAATCAATTATCGTTAATATTTTGGGCCTTCTATTTTAGTGGGTCCTATGTGAGTGAGCACCTTACACTCTCTCGGGGCTGGCCCATCACTGGACTCAGCAGATAATTTGGCTCGGAAATCTAGAGTTTACAAAGAACAAAGGCTTGTTTGAAAGTGACAGTTGAGACAGCATTTGCTGCTGAGATTGTGGTCGTGGAGCAGAAGTGGGGATTAGGATGCCTCGGCAGCATCCAATAGGGCTATACAAATGAACATAAGGGCTTGTTGCTTCAACGGTTGTGCCCAACCCCACTATGTTGCCCTGCGGAAGCTGACTCGTCGTCCTTCTGTTCGTGTTTTTCTCAAGAAGATGAATGAGTATTCAAGAGAGTTCAATGAAGAAAACACAAAGAAGATAAAAGTGAGAGTGGGCAAGATCAAATGGATATTCAATATCAATTTTTAGATCTTTACAAAGTAACTGATCTGTTAGTAAGCTACCAGTTATAAGCTAACAGTCTTATTGAGTTTAACAACAAATTTAGGAAATCCTTTTACAATATAATCGTTGGGTCAATGGCCCGATTAGAGGATCGGCCCATATAACCCCTCTATGGACGAACGTCCAAGCTCAATGGGTCTCTGTGGGTAGAGACGAACGTCTCCACATCCCATAGCAGTTACGCCTCCAGGCACAAGGCAGACAAGACGAACGTCGCCACACCTTGTATTAGGCCACAAGAGGTAAAGCCCAAGGCTAACCAACACACTTTTATATAAGGGCCAGAAGACGTACGGCTCGTAACCCTTTGCAGATATTACCAAGGGCAATTCCAGGTTCAAGAGGACGCTTGTCTCCATGAATAGGCGGGAAAATAAGATCTTGGCGGGAAGCGCATTTAATGTTGGCGATTTGGTGGTTGGGGCTTCAGCCATCCACAGCTCTTCACGCTAGCATGTTCAACTGCCCCTTGGTAATATAAATAGTAGCATTTATTTCATTGTAAAGGGTTGGCAACTTACCCGCCTTTAGCATCCTAGCATTCATTCAGCTCTTAAGCTTATTCTCGCAGTTCATCTACTCGAGTGTGAGACGTACGGCTGCTGGCCTTAGCATAATGTTGTGTAATGGGGAGTTATTAGATCTTAATAATACTCGGCTCACTATTTGCATACATTTCTTAGCCCATCTACTTGCTTGCATCTCATATCCACATACTCATCCACTCGAAATCCTTGGGCTTACGTGTTGGGCCTGCGGGTTGAAAGAATAAACCTCAACAATAATCATAAAATTCTCATGTGTTACATCAGCTATAGAACATCCTTTCCACTGAATGAGATGTTGCATAATTTTATCATTAAGTCTCTTGATAATTCTTTTATCTAACACAACTTCAGCTTAGGGCTATCTTCTTTATCTCTTCCTTGAAGCCATTGAGGAATAAAAGGACTTGTTAGCACTTTCCTTTAAACATTTTCAATTGAGGCACGTGGAAAATATTGTGAACCTTAACCTCTTTTGGAAATTTAAGTTTGTATGCCACTTTTCCCACTATATCAATATCCTGAAATGATCCAAAGTATTTAGGAGCTAGTTTCTGATTTGATCTTTGCTGCACAGAAAGTTGTTTATAAGCATGTAACTTTAGTCATACTTATTTCCATTTGTTAAAGCTCCTCTCTGATCTCTTTCTATATGGTTGCTTCTTCATTCTTTGTTGAGCTTTAGTCAAATATTGTTCGAGTAAAACAATCACGCTTTCTCTTCTCTGCATAGTTCTGTCCATCATTTCCACTGAAGTCTCTTCGAGAAGATAATGTAAGTGTATCAGAGAAGGTTGATTGTAAACAACTTCATAAGGAGTCATTTGTATTGTTGAATGATATGTTGTATTATATCGTCATTCAGCTAACAATAACCAATTTGACCATTCTTGGGGTTTGTCGTTGTACATACACTTCAAGTAAGAGTCTAAATGTATGTTGACTACCACTATTTGTTCATCTGTTTGAGGATGATAAGCTGAGAATAGTTTCAAGTCAGTTCCGTGAAATGGGAATGCTTGCCGAAATTGACTAATAAAGATAATGTCCTAACCACTTACAATGCTTCTAAGCCAGCCATATAATTTGAACACATGATCCAAATAGGATTGTGCTACTTCATTTGCAGAACAAGGATGCTTGAGTGCCACGAAATTGGCATATTTACTGAATCTATCCACCACTATATGTATCACTTCTTTCCCGTGATGATTGGGCAATCCTGTGATAAATCCATAGAGACATCCTTAAAGGCTTCTTTTGGAATTGGTAAGGATGTAGCATTCCCAGGTGAGCAACAATATCATTTTTGTTGGCTTGGCAGGTAAGATAATGTTGGATAAAAGAAAGTAACATCCTTATTCTTCATTTTTCGAGGTGAACATATTTTCACTCTTTTCAAAGTAGCATCCATTCTAGAGTGTCCTTCTTATGCCAACACGTGCATCCAATTCAAGATTGAATTCCTAGGTTCACTATCATGTCCCACCACAATTTTCCCCTTCTTTCTTATTAATCCATTCAGAATTTGGTACTTGAAAGCATTGACATCATTTTGTTGTAAACATGTAGCAATTGCTCAAGATAGGATACGAATTCAAATTTGCTACAGTTGTCTTTGCTGTCTTAAACTAAATCAAATTTTATATCTGAGATAGCTGAACATAATAGCTCACTTCCCTCCACCCTAGATAAATCATCAACAATTTTGTTCTCTTTCACAGCTTTATACAGAATTTCATAATTAAACTCCATTAACTTGGACAACCAAAATTGTTGGAATGGAGTAGAAATCTTTTGCTTAAAATTCATTTCAAGAATTTCTGGTCTGTCTTTATCACAAAAGGTTGTCCAGTGAGATATTGTTCCCATTTCAGTACCGCAAATACAATGGCTAATAACTCAAAGAGATTTGCTGATGAAGGCTAGAGGGTGATTCTCCTGCATTAGGTTGTGTCAATTCCAATATTTGAAGTATCAGCTTCAATAATGAAAGTCTTCTCAAAATTGGGTAAAGTCAACATTGGTGCAACAGATAATGTTGTTTTGAGACTTTGAAAGGCTTCCTTTGCTTCGTCTGTCCATTGAAACCCTTCCTTCTTTAATAGTTGAGTAAGTACATCACTAATTGAAGCATGGTTCTTTATGAATTTCCTATAATATCCCGCGAATTCCAGAAAACTCCTTAATTCTTCCACATTTTGGGATTTAGGCCATTGTTTGATTGCTTGAATTTTATTGGGATTGGTTTCCACTCCTTGTTCGGGAATAAAATGGCCTAGATATTCCACCCTGATTATAGCAAATGCACATTTATTGTCCTTAGCATATAGACAAATTTGCTCCACCAATTTGAAAAAAAGTAGCTAGATGATTTAGGTTTTCTTCGAGTGAGGAGCCATCAAAGAGCTCGAAAGAGGTTGGCGCGTTTGTGAGGTCAAATGGCATCGCTAAAAAATCATAATTGCCCTCATGTGTTTCAAAAGCAGTTTTAAACACGTCACTTTCATCCGCTCTCAGTTGATGATACTCATCTCTAAGATCCAGTTTAGAAAGCATTTTAGATTTTGCCAATCCCTTAATTAGTTCATCAACTACTGGAATTGGAAATTTGTCTTTGATAGTACGTTTTCTTACTAAGCTCTCTATAATCAACACATAAACGCCATGATCCACTTTTCCTTGCAATCAACACCACAGAAAAGGCAAAGGGACTAGAACTGATTTGTATAATGCCTTGATCTAACATTTCCTGCACTAAGCTCTCAATGATATCTCCCTATTTGTGAGGATATCTGTAAGGCATCGGGTGACTCTCCAAGTAATAGAGAAATCTTATGATCAAATTTCCCCCTTTTGGAGGTAGCTCTTTAGGTTCTTCAAAAATTACCCCAAATCGTGTTAGTAATTCTTGATCTGGTTCACGAATATAGGTCACTTCATTTTGAGTTTT